TTTTCTTTGTTTTGTTTTCACTTTTCTTGGTCTGCAATGTATGCCATTTTTGTTAAACTAAAATCTTTCAGCGTTTTAATAACTTTCCTGTCTAATTTCACCGAAAAACGAAAATATCAACCAACGGCATAGATATCTTATTTCAAAAATCAGTAAAACGTTATATTTTTTCACAACAACAATAATTATATGGACTTAATAGCAATCTTTAGTAATTTAATTGCAAATCAATATCAGGTCTAGTACCATAAGGAGAGAGGTAAGCAATACCCAATATCTATCAATATCTAAGTGCACTGACTAGTATCAAGTCTGGTACCATGAGAAAAATAACCACACTCGTTAGGCAAGTACCACGGTACCGCTACTAAACCATACTAAATGGTACTAAGTCTGGAACCATAAGAGTGATAACCATTATTGTTAGACGAGTACCACTGTACCACTACCAAGCTGAACTGTGGTACAGAGTCTAGTACCTTAACAATACCACAATCATACAAGTACTGCTGCACCACTACCAAGCTTCACGGAATGGTACCAAGTCTAGTACCATGAACAAGTACCACAATCAGACAAGAATCACTGCACCGGTACCAAGCTACACTGAATGGTACCAAATCGAGCACCACAAGAATAACAGAACCACAATCGTTAGACCAATACCACGGTACCACTACCAAGCCAAGCTCAAGGGTACCAAGTGTAACACCACGTATTCAGGAGTAGCCTGAGGGGGTAGCGGTGGGGTGGGGAGGGGGGGGGGGCGAGGCGGAAAACAGGTGTAGAAAATAAAGTCATTTTTTCCTTGTTCTTGAAATGGACTTTAAGATTTTTTTTTTCAGAATTTGTTTCCTTTTAGAATTTGTTGTAGGTGTGTGTGTGTGTTTTGTGTACAAATATATTATGTATAAATTCATATGTACAAATATGTATATATTTATAATATATATATATATATATATATATATATATATATATATATATATATATATATATATGTATATGTGTGTGTGTGTGTGTGTGTGTGTGTACAAATATATATATATACAATATGTACATATTCATATATATATATATATATATATATATATATATATATATATATATATATATATGTGTGTGTGTGTGTGTGTGTTGTGTGTGTTGTGTGTGTGTGTGTGTGTGTGTGTGTGTGTGTGTGTGTGTGTGTATGTATGTGTGCATATATATATATATATATATATATATATATATATATATAATATATATATATATATATATATATGCATATATATATATATATATATATATATAATATATATATATATATAGATAGATAGATAGATAGATATAGATATGTATATATACACACATACATATATAAATATATACATACATACATACATATATATATAATAAATATATATATATATATACATATGTATATATATATATATATATATATATATATATATATATATATATATATATATATATATATATATATATATATATATATATATATATATATATATATTTATTTATTATTTATTATTATATATATATTATATATATAATTATATATATATATATATATATATATATATATATATATATATATATATATATATATATATATATATATATATATATATACATATATACATATATGTGTATATGTATATACACATATATATGTATGTATGTATATATGTATATATGATGATAACCGTGGTGAGAGTGGTGATACTGATGATGATGAGGATGATGATAAGAATAGTGCTAATGATGATAATGATGATGATGATAATGGTGATGATGAAGAATATAGAATTATAATGATCATAGTGAAGATGATAATGATAATAACGAAAATGATAATGATAATAACCGAATCAATAATATATTAGTAATTATAACAATGATGAATATTGATAATAATGATAACAATAATAATGATAAAAGATAATAATTATAAATAATGATAATATGAAAATGATAATGTTAATAACAATAACAATAAAATGATGATAATAATAATAATAACGCTAATAGTGATAATAATAATGTTAATAGTAATAATAATGATAATAACAATAATAGTAATAATAATGATAATAACAATAACAATAAAGATAATGTTAATGATTATAATGATGATAGGGATAATGACAAAGATAACAATGATAACAATAATGACGATAATGACAATAGTGATAATGATAATGATAATAAAAGATGATAATAACAGTAATTGTGATGATAATGTTGATAAGGACTATAATGATAATGGTAAAAAATAATGATAATAATCATTATAATGATAATAATGATAGCAGAAGTAATAGTAATTATATTTATGGTCATAATAATAATGATAATAATGATAATGACAATAACAATAATGATGATGATCATAATGATAATGATATTGATGATATTAGTAATAACGATAGTAATAACTATAATTATAATGATAATAATGGTGATGATCATAATAATGATAATAATAATTATAGTAATAAAAACAATAATAATAATATTAATGATAATGATAGTAATGATGATAGTAATAACAATAATAATTATCATTATTATTATCATGATGATAATGATCATTATAAAAGATAATTACAATAATGACAATAATGTTAATAATAACAATAATGATGATGATGATGATGATAATGATAATAATAATAATAATAATAATAATAATAATAAATAATAATAATAATAATAATGATAATAATGATAATAATAGTAAAAATAATAATAATAATAATTATAGTAATAATAATAACAATAATAATGATGATGAGAGAGAGACAAGAGAGATCGAGATAAATGCAAGCACACGTGACTGTCTTATCAACAGATCGTCTCTTAAAATTGCGTTTTGGGATGATAACAAACTTACCTTTGATCTCGAGAAAATTAAGGTAAGCATGACAAAACAATATCGACTATTTTTACGTTGTTTGTACGGTGGTGGATTTTCTTTTAAGTTCGTTGTTATCTGATTTTTTTTTTAATTCGTATTCGGAAAATATAGAAAAAGCGGGAGGTAAGAAAAGGAGAAAGGGTGAATTAGGAAAGAGAGAGAAATTGAAAATTAAAGATAGGAGTAAAAATCATGTAGGAAGTATTATGATGATAATTCACTGGATAAAATATATGTGAAAGTTATTTTTTAGATGATAGAAATACTTTTTTTTCTTCTTTCTCGTTATAGGGTTTAGACTATGTTGTCTATATCCCCTGGATCCTCTTTTTTTGTTCTTGAAGTTTCTTATATCATGTTGATTAACTTGGTTCTTTGTAGGAAGATCTTGGTGTGTCTCAATATGTAATACTTTATTGGTTAATGAATGGTCTGTCCCTGTTAACAGAAGGTTGATTTTAAAGTCTTGAATATTTGCTTGATTAAGTGCTTGTTTTAGTTTTATTCTCTGGGAATTGAACCTTGGGCATTGTATTATCATGTGTTCTATTGTTTCCTCTTGGGTTCTGCACCATCTGCAAATATGGGTCGTTTTCCATTTTTAGTCTATGTAGGTGTTGTTTTAGTCTTGTGTGTTTGGTTAATAATCTTGCGATGCGTGTATCTAATTTTCTGATTTTTTGGCTCTGAACAAAGGTTTTCTGCTGTTGTCTTTTATGAGGTAATCCTTGGAGTGTAATAATCTCTTTAAGATTCGATTCCCATTGTTTGGAATTTTTCAATTTAATTTCTTTTATTGTATATTTTGGGTCTTGAGATACTGGCATGGGATTGATCAGTTCGTGACCTTTTTTTGCTGCTAAGTCTGCTATTTCGTTTCCCTTAATGTTTTTGTGTGAGGGAATCCATTGGATCTTTGTATGTTTGTTTTTTGTGTTGCTAGTATATGTATTTGTTTTTGTATATCGTATATGATTTGTTTGTAGTTTAAAGGTTTGTTGTTTTGTTTAAGTAGTAGTGATGATTGAGAGTCTGATAGTATCACTGTTTTATTTAGATTATTGTTTATAATATAGTTTAATCCTTGTTTTATAGCAAAGAGTTCTGCGTGGGTTATTTCTACATTAGTTGGTAGTTTCCAGAGTTGTTATTTTTTTGTCTTTAATAAATATGGCTGCCGAGGTTGAATCTGGTTCTTTTATTTTTTATCCATCGGTAAATATTTTGGTATTGTCTTTGTAGTTTATATTTATCATTTCTTGATAATGTTTTTGAATAATGATTTGAGGGGTGTTTTTTTGAGAGGTTTTCAGCAAAATTTATTTGTATATAATTTGAAATATCAAACCATGGGGGTACTGGTGAAATTATTGGTACTTTATTTAGTGTTAGTTCAATATTTAGATTCTTTTTAGTTTCTGTGACTCTGATGATGATAGAAATACGAAAAGAGGACTTGGAAATTGATATGAAGACTCCTAAATAAAATAATATCATAATCTTTATTGATAAAAAAACACTTTTACCTTCATAGCTACGACAACAGTAGATCGTGTCTCATTAGACCTTGCTGTCTATAATGTATTCAGAAATAGGCACGTACTCCTTCTGTCTTATTCTGTGAGCAAGGAGATAATTTGTGTCTGTAGTCCCTTATTTTCTTTCTTTCTTTCTTTCTTCCTTCACTGCTTAATCGTCTTTAAAATACGCATAGAATTAAATTTTGAAAACGCGAAATCTACAACAAATTAAGTTAACCGGTAGCCTATGGGAATAAAAGGTGAAAATGATACAAGTACATTTTTTCATGAACTACTTTTTATAACTTTTATTTTATGTTCTGGGTGCGGTTTGGAGGACACAATTGTTTGCACGTCGATAGACAACGTATGTGTGCAGTGTGGTGTGTGTGTGTGTGTGTGTGTGTGTGTATGTGTGTGTGTGTGTGTCTGTGTGTCGTACACACAAATACCCATACACACATGAACAGACAGAACAACGAACAAAGAAAATCTAATTGCGTGCACATGCATTTCTCTCTCTCTCTCTCTCTCTCTCTCTCCTCTCTCTCTCT